GGTGGAAGAAACAAACGTGCCACAAAGCAGGCCTTGAGGGAGCCTGTCGGCTGTGAGGATGCCGGGCAGTGTTGGACTTGCGGTGATAGCTGACAAACACAGGAAACAACAGCCCACAGTGAGTGGGCGTCTGCAGACGCCGCAAACTGTAAACTGCAAACTGAGGAGCTAGAGCCTCGTAGTCTGAGAAGGAGTGGTTGAAGGAGAAGATGCCCGTGTTCCTTTCATCAGACCGGACTCACCTTCGTCCCACGGCCAGGTGATGGCGTGAAGAAGGGGACAGCTTCTGCCTGTCTTCCTTGGCTCAGGCGCAGAGTTTCTGACTAAAACATTAGCAACTGAATCCCGTGGCCATCAAGCGCATGCACGTGTGTAAACTCACAGTCAAAAAGAGCTTATATTTCAGGGTGCCAGGCCTAACGTCACAGTGGAAACTCTGGCGACCTAGATTCCAGAGGAAAGACCTTTCGCTCAAAGGATGCATAGAAGCTCATCTTCCCTAAATGCAGCGTGCATGCCCTGCCAGGAACCAATAAGAGTAACCGTTGCACACTGGTGGTGGGGTCTAGTTCCCAGGAGGAGCCCCAGGGTGGCATGCGGACCATTCAGCATGCGGCCGCTAGTGGAGAGGTTGGCGGTTCAGACCCGGCAGGCAGGCTCAGTGCTCTGCTTCCATAGGGCTCTCTGGGGGGCAGCTGTGCGCTGCAGCATGTGGGGATGCCGTGGGTCGGGGTCAGCAGCATAACTTGGTTCTGGTTCACAGTAACGTGGGTGTCCCCCTTTGTTCCAGTTTCTCTTCTTCGGGCGACGTGGCCTGCATGGCTATCTGCTCCCGCCAGTGTCCACCGGCCATGGCCTTCTGTTTCCTGGAGACCCTGTGGTGGGAATTCACGGCTTCCTACGACACCACCTGCATCGGCTTAGCCTCCAGGCCTTACGCCTTTCTCGAATTTGGTTGGTACCCCTCTTTCAGACTTCTTATCTCCTCCAGCCTGGTGTAGGTCAAGGCTGGACTTTGGACCCCAAAGCAGAGCAAGGGGGGTGCTACAAGGGGTCTCTGAAGAACAGCCTTGGGCTGTGAGGTTTCACAGGGCTCAGAGTGGCCTGGAAAGCTTCGAGGCTCAGCACCCTGACTTTCCTTCCCTCCAGGGGATGGGGGCAGGGCAGAGGGCTGGGGGGAACCCGTGTGGACGTAGTCTGTGAGCATGTCCTTCCTCCGTATGTCAAGGACTGAAAGTGAGAGTCGGTGCGCAGAGAGCCTTCCAGCAAGCGGCCATCGTGGTGCTGCTTCTGATTGCCTTTTGACGCAGGCATCAGTTGGCCACAGTGCGGGAACGAGAGAAACCTGTCTCCCCCTCATTTGGGGTTTGAGCAGCACTGCTCTCGGAGGCTAGGTTCTCCCCGGTTGTGGAGGAGAGCCCTCGTCACGTGCACTCACGGTCTTTAGGTTACCGCTTTGCTGGCCCAGCATGCACTGTTTGCTTCGGGTGGGATTTAGACCACTTGGAGCTCCTGGGGGAACGGTGGTAGAAGCGGTAATTAGGGGGCATTCTGTATAAACGGCCTCCATCTCTGCGGTGCTCTTGAGTGAGGGTTGGCAGCACCTGGCACACGTTCAAGTACAGGGCTGGCCTGGGACTGTCCCACACTTGCTTCCTAACACCTCCATTCGTCTGGGTTGACCCTCATATGTGAGTTTAGGAAAGAGCTTTATATAATGAGTAATTGTATATGAAGAAAACATCCCAGCCCCGTCTAGATCAAGTCCATATGTCCGATATTAGTCCATAAGTCTGATACCAATCTGTAAACTCCTCTTCAGATTCATGCAACACATGCAATGACGCCGAATGCAGGAAGGTCACAGGCCAGTGGGTGAAACGTCTTGTGGGTCCGGTGGTGGTGGAAGTACCTTAGTGTTGGGGTGGGTCTCCAGGGCTCTGGCTCTATCAGTGTAGCTCCATGTGGCTTGTCAACAGGAATATCTTACAGGGAGAGTGTGTATCTGGCTTCCAGCGAGCTATTTATCTCCTTAGCGCCTCCAAACATCACGCTGTTCCCTGATTGACAGGCTAGATTCCACCCCTTCGCTCTTTGTAGTCTCAAGTTGATGTCAGATGATGTAACGACCACACCCTCCCTCCATAGCCTTCAGATGCCTTCTGGAGTCTGCCACCTGGCCCTGCGTGTGAGCCCCTTTGCTTCTCTGACTCTTCATTATGAACCAGTGAACGTTTGCCAAGCCGCTCGGTGTCATGCTCAGCAGTCCATACGTGTGGTGTCTCAGTTCCCTCACTGCAGTCCCCTCCGTGGACCATTACTCCTTCTGCTGCCCCCTCCCTTCCCATTTCCTGGCCCTCCCAATGAACTTTGGGTGACTGCTGCCCTTTGGGCAATTATTCTAGCACAGGGGCGAGTTCAGGTCCAGACCTGAAGGTGCTCGGGGACTTCCCTGGGACCCAGGCCAGAGCCTGGGAGAGTTGGGATATAGGCTCAGGTCTGCCCTGCCTCCATGTGAGGCCATGAGCCAACCACTTCCCTTAGCCCACTCCTCCTGTGAAGAAGGCCTTGCAGGGGTTGGTGGGGGTTGCCCCAGCCACAGCATCTCTCCGCTCTCTGTTCATTTGGAGTCAGCTGGGTTTACGCCTGTCTCTCCCCTCACCTCTGCCCAGCCTTCCAGAGCAGCATGTGCTTGCTCTGATGGGAGCCCGTTCCAGGCCTCCTGCTTCCTCGTCTGAGTGGGAGGAGAAGGTGCGTAACAGCATCTGGATGTTAGAATTATGCACGACTCCGCTCGGCCAGCCAACAGGGGTGAGACTTAGTACTTGTGAAGCCTTGGTCGTGGGTTAAAACTAAGACAAAATACATAGATGACAGCCAGTGCCTCTCCAACGTGTAGCCTCAGTTTGCACACAAAACTCACATTCACTTGTGATCCCCTCTCCCCCATTCGCAACCCCCTTTTGAGAGAAGCAGGTCCAAATTAACTGTCCCCAGGGCCATGCTGTCAGAAGGGACTGGGCTAAAACTTAAGCCCCTCTCGCTCTTCCAGAAAACCCCAACTCACTGTTATAACTTGGATTCCAGCTCACAGCGACTGGCCCTCTAGGACAGGGTTGGACTGCCCCTGTGGGTCTATCTCCGAGGCTGCCACCCTTCAGCCTCGCCTTTCTCCCAAGGAGCAGCTGGTGGTTCATGAACTGCTGGCCTTGTGGCTAGCAGCACCACAAGAAACCACCACGCCACCGGGCTCCGGTTCCTCCCTCCCTGTTCCAGTCCTTGTTGTGGCAGTACACCACACAGTAAATAGTCACCAACTTGGTAATGTCCACGTCTGATTCAGTAGTGCTGGCTTCTTCACGCCGTGCCACCCTTGTCACCCCTCTTTTTCCAGATGATTCCAGCAGTGTGTACATCACACAGTACCTTCGTGGAAAGCCCGCCCCCGTGTCATCACCACCGATAGTCTGTGGTTTGTGCATTGGCTTGTTTCCCACGTCTTCACAGTGCATCCATTGCTGTGGCATGCTCCAGGAGGCCGAGTACCCTCCAAGTGCGTGTCCTTCCTCAACACCAGATCTCTGTGACACATCCGTGATGTCGCCAGGGCAGGACTGTCACAACTTGAGCAGTTGAGCCCACCATGGTTGGAGTGTACCAACCCCCTGACCTCTAAGCCTCACTCGACACTCCTCAGAATCTAGCTCACGTTAGCTTTCTGAGAAAGGCCAACGTCCTCCCGCCCCACGTGCATGCGCAGTCCCCTACCCAGATGGAGACGCTCACCTTGGGCCGCTCTCTTTGCAGACAGTGTCATTCAGAAGGTGAAGTGGCATTTTAACCACGTGAAGTCCTCACAGCTGGAGAGCAGCTTTCAGAAACTCCGGGAGGAACTCGAGTTCCAGCCGCCCTTCGCTCTCACGGTGGAGGACGCGGACGCGGCCAATGGCGTGATGAACAGTCACCCACAGCTCCAGCTGCAGCACGGTAGGTCGCCGGCTGCTTGCTTGCATGCCGGGGTAGATGAGGCATGTGAGGCCTTTCAAAGGGACATTTTCTTGGTGGGGGACGGTGGGGCTGGCCTGCCATGAACCAAACTGTGACTCCCTTGAGAACAAGCATCCATTTGACCAGAGACCCTGATTTGCACCCCTGTATGCATGCCCTCCGTTTTTGTGGGATGCCGTGAGTGAACCCTCACTTCTTTCTGTGGCTCAGGATGCACGATTATTGCTTGGGGAGGTCAGATCTCGAAAGCGTGCAGTCTGGGCACCCTCTGTGGGCTCGCTGCCTGTTGAGTCATCGTGGGGTTGCTTGGTTGGTTTCCTGGGACCCGGGGCTGCTCTTCAGGACGGCTAGATTCAGGAGTTGAAGAATGGCTGGCAGGTGGTTTTCTTAACCAGAACCAAGTCTTACGAGTTTAGGTGTTGTCAGGGAGAGCCAGTGCCGTGTAGTGAAAGTCCCTCACCGAACCGACACAATGAGGGCCCTCTCTCTCTTTGACGGTGACTTCTGAAGGCACCTTAGCGAATCTGGCATGGAGTGAATGAGGCCCCAAGACAGGTGCCAGCTTGGTCACCATTCTCAGTGGCTTGGTTACATCATGATGTCCCGTATCAATGACGTAACGGTGTCATCATCCCCCATGATGTGACTTGATAGGATCAGCTCCACTGTGAGCACCATGACTCAGGTCATAGCCCCTTTAAGGGAGTTTCCCTGGGCGGGTTCTACACTGCCTATTAGGTTACAAGAGCTAGGTGGGCAGAGACCCAGAGAGCAGAGCCAGTAGTGCAGCCTGCCCTCAGGACCCCGGATTCCTGGACTAAGAAGCTCCTAGATCCAGGGGAGCCCACAGTGCGGATTCAAGCCAAGCAATGGCAAGCCCACGGGTTGTGGAAGGAGATGGGTGCGGTGGTAGAGAGAGAGCCTTTGCCTGGAGCCAGCACCCAATTTGGACTCCTAGCCTCCTGCAAACTGTGAGGGTCTAAATCCCTACGTGGGGGATTTTGTTAGAGGAGCATTCATCACTGACGGCCTGCAGCCATTTCTCAGCCAGGTCTCCACAGAGAAGCCTCAGTCCTCCTTGTTGGTTTATTTTGAACTCCCTGTTCACACAACGGAGGAGCCCTGGTGGTTGTGAGTTTGTCGGGCTGCGGATCCTCAAGGTCAGCACTTTGCAGACACCAGTCGATTCTGAGAGAGAGACAGACAGACAGACACGTGGGGCTTTCTGCTCCCGTAAAGAGCAACATTCTCAGAAACCTACAGGGACAGTTGGACACAAGTGAGTCCCGACCCTCGGCGACCCGCACACAGCAGCAGGAGGCACTGCCCGTGGGTCCAGCACCGGCCTCACTGGTACTGCTAATCTGAGCCCATTGTCGCAGCCACTGTGGATATTTATAGTCAAGAGAATTCTGAAATAGTGTAAGAGCCAAGCCCTGACTACATCATTCCAAAGAAGAGTGTCCCTCTCGGCTTGCCAAGACTGCCATCTGTGTAGCTAGCTGGCTACTACATCTCTCCCCCAGGAGTGGCTGGGCCTTCCAGGCGGGACCCTCCTACGGTACACCAGGGCTCCCTCCGGCTGCGCTGTTTTGTTTTAACCTGTCTATGGAGCTCACTGAGTTTAAAGTGGCTTGTGAAAGATTGGGCCTTAGTTTTGTGCTTGGTCTGCTTCTACCAGGAAATTCCTGTGTTGGTTTTCCGTTGTCCTAATTCACACTCGCTTTTGTTGAAGGAAGAGAGGGGAAGGAGAGGGAGTGTCTCCCCTGCCATACGCGAAGCAGGGGCAACTTTTGGTGGTCAAGTACTGAGACAAGAGGAAAAGGTCCAGGAAGGGTCAGCCTGCGCATCTTCTAGGACATCTCTCTGTGGTTTAACTCACCATGGGGCCTCTTTACATAGGCAGCATCTTCCGTTCAAATGGGAGCTGTGGTGGCTCAGTGGGAACTCGCTCACACACATTCTCCGCCCGCTGCCGTCCAGGGGTTGCACAGCAACCCCCTCTGGGTTTCTGAGAGTAGAAAGTCCGGTCTTTTTGAACTGCCGACCATGCAAATCGCAGCCCAACACTTAACCACGACACCACCAGAACTCTATTCTACCAGTAGGCAAAGTTGGGTTGTGGCTGGGCACAAGTATGTGTGTGTGTGTGTCCGCACTCGCACTTGCACGATGTAGGGATAGGAAAGGATGATTGAAAAAGATCAGGGCGGCAAAGTGGGGCGAGACACTAGTTAACTCTGGTACCCAGAATTCATTCCTTCAATTATCTTTACGGAGCGAGTCATCGTTTGTTGGAACTGTAGTTCTAGAAACAGCCTGTAGCTTAGATAGTCACCCCTTTCTGCCTCTTCCAAAGTACTGTATATATTTGAGCATAAGCCGACCCGAATATCTGCCGAGGCACCTAATGTTACCACAAAAACTGCATTAAAATGTGCTGAAAAACTCGGCTTGTACTCGAGTATATGCAGTATGTATGCTAGAATCTAAAAAAGTAACAAAATGTGCGTTTGCTGTGACTTGCTATGGAAGCACACGGGCCCTGTGTGCTGTCCTTGTCCGAGAGGCGGGTTTTACCCGCTGAGGACTGGAGTGTGGGGGAAGAAACGCCTTCAGAATGTGACAGCCAATTTGTGCACAAAACCACAGCCCCCTGTGATAGCTGGAGACAGTGCTTGGAGGCCGAGTTTCTCAGCCAGTGCCCGGCCGACACTCGGGCTGGACCATGCGCTGTTGTGGGGGCTGGCCTGTGTGCTGTAGAAGACACTGCTGCGTCCCTGGCCTCTACCCGCCAGATGCCAGCAGGGCCCCCTTGCTTTCCATTTGTGACAGCCAAAAAGTCCTCCTGACATTGCCTCGTCGTATTCCAAATTGCTCCTGATTGAGAGCCTCCACTTTGGATAAAGATAATGAACCACTGAAAAGCCTTGCCCAAAGGTGGGGACAGGGTTGGGGATGGGGTGGCCCAAGGGGGAGGATGGTGGTAGAGGGAGGACTCCATGTGGCAGAAACTCCCCCTTGGCCTCCTCAGTTCCCTTCCTTTGTTTGCCTCTATCTCCCTGGGTCAGTCTGTAGACTAGAGAAACAACTTCATAGACACTCACATGTGTCTGAGAAAGAGGTTTCTATACAAGAGCCATTGAATACTGAGAAAACAGCCCAGTCCAGATCGAGTCCATAAGTCCGATATTAGCCCATATGTCTGAAACCAATCTATGAAGTCCTCTTCAGACTCACGCAACACATGCAATGACACCAAGTGCAGGAAGATCACAGGCTAGTGGATTGGAAGTCTTGGGAATCCAGTGGTGTTGCAAGCATCTCAGTGTTGGCAGGGGGTCTCCACATGGCTCCTCCAGTTCCAGGGCACAGTGGTCTATCAGTGTAGTGCCATGTGTCTTGACAGTAGAGCGTCTCTCAGGGAGTGCGTCTTGTCAGTAGAGAGTCTCCAAGGGAGTGAGCAGAGAGAGTGTGTGTGGCCCGCCTCCAAGGAGGAAATTATAGGAGTTCCCAGAATCCTCAGGGGAAGGCCAAACCACACAGAGGCTTCACTGGCTATACAATGATTGACAGGCTAAACTCTCAAACTGACAACAGATTATGTAACTACCACCCCCCTCCTTAACCTCTGCTCCTATTTCAACAATCGATAGCGTGTTTAACATAAACCCGTATTTTTAGTGGGGGTGCAATGAATGCTTCTGTCAGTGTCACCCTTCTGGATCGATGTTGGTTTCACTAGACACGTGTTTCCCTTCTTTGTTTTCCCTTGCAAAGTGCCCCACTTCCGGATGGAGCCCGTGACAGCCCTGGGCATCCTCTCCCTGGTGCTCAACATCCTGTGTGCTGCGCTGAACCTCGTGCGCGGCATTCACCTTGCGGAGCACTCCCTGCAGGTAACCTCGCCTTTCGTGAGGGAAGAGCTCGACGGGAGACGTTTGAATCCTAAGACGATGATGGTGCCAAGGTCTAAAAATAATCCTGGTTCAAGTGCAATGGTTACTTGTCACTCATCGTCAGTTGAGCAAATCCAGAATCCACTCTTTTTGTGTTCCTTGTCCTAAGTAGACAGGTCTCTGCTGGGGTATTGGTGAGACATGGACCACAAGCTGCCAGGATGACAGACTGCCCCAGGCCCCTTGGCACCCAAGGGCCTGAGCAGCTCACCCAAGGGCAAAGGTTGATCCTCAGACTTTAAAATTCGGGCTCTTTTTTTTGTTTTGCCTTGGGAAAAGATTGTCTCATTATCTGATTTCTATAATGTAGCTGTGGTATATTTACAGTCTGCACCCTATACTGTATGCAGACTGTATATAGCACGGACATGTGGACACATGTTTTCATTGTGTCTTTGTCAAATAACTGCATCACTGAGAAGTTTCATTTCCTGGCCTGCTCATCTCAAAGCAATTTTCCATTTCAATTATCTTTTAAAAAACAGCTTCTTAAAATGTTGTAAAGTATTTCAAACAGTACCATTGTAAGGATAAATAGCTGCTGTCTTTGAAGATAGAGTCCCACTGCTCACTCACATATGAGAAGGCCAAAGCCCGAAGCTCGGCCAATGCTGAGCCTCGGGGGGGCTAGTGTAGACTGGCCTGCGTGGGGAATGGCCACTGGCCTGTGTTTAAGCCTGTGGGAACTGCCTGCTACCTCATCTCATCTTAGGCCAATGTGTGGTGCAGTTTCCACTCTGTTTCCAGCCATTCGTTAGCTGCGGCACCAGTTACTACCATGTTAGCTGAGTTGTCCGGAGAATCAGAACCAGTGACTCTCGTCTGCATATAAGAAAGAACTCTAGGTCAAGTCCGACTCCAGCCCAGTGCTGGCCGGAACCCTCTGCAGACTCAAGTAGCTGCAGGCCGATGTGCAGAAAGGTCAGCTGGGAAGCAAGGAGTCTTGTGGATGCAAGACTCAAAGTCTCAGGCTTGTGGCTGCAAGGTCGGTGGGAACCTGGGAGGGCCCCGCAGCTCATATTGTGCTGCCCCTGAGGCAGATACAGAATCCAAGCAAGCAGGAGGGCGAAGGGCAAGCGGAAGAAGTTCTCCGTGTCTCTCCGAGAGCCAAGACCACACCTTAGTCCCTTTACTAAGGAGGCATCACTGGGCTACCACCTGGTGGACAGGTTGGACTCCATCCCTCCTACTTTCACACAGGTTCAAGTTGACATAAAACCTAACTTCCACACCTACCAAGTGTCCATTTGTACCCCCTAAAGCAAGGACCTGGACAACAATGTGGTTAAGATGTGTCCCCTGCCTCAGGGACTCTCCGGTTGCTAAACAGAGCATGGTAGAGGTACTAAGGAGCGGGCAGTGCCTGGACCTATAGGGGTGGGGGTAAGGAAAACTTGGTATTGAAAATTGAGCAGGATTTTGAGAGGTGGTTGAATTGAGGGCATCGTATAGATACATGGTATGTCCCGACATTGACACAGTGGTGGCGTGCCAGCCCCTGGTCTGGCACATGGAAGGGACTTAGCCAGCCAGGGATTTTGCACTGTCCACCATCACAGACTTCATGAAAAAAGTGCTGTAGTTCATGTCCTGGTGTTTCCCTCCCTCTCACCACCCTCTCCCGTGCTGTTCTACCCGTTGCAGATTGCCCAGGAGGAAATTGGAAACATTCTCGCTTTCCTCATTCCTTTTGCAGCCTGCATTTTCCAGGTGAGTGGAACACTGGTCCTCTGGTGGCCGCAGTGGCAGGTTTCTGGACCTGCTTTTGTTCTGCCCAAGCCTTGGTTCAAATCACGGGCAGTATCAAGCCCTTAGTGGAAGGGGACCCTGCCCAGACCTCTCATTTTACAAAGGAGGCGTTTTGAGTTCAGAAAAGGAAAACCGCTGACCCCTTAGCACAGAGCCACTGGCCACAGGTGAACAGAAACCAGGACTTTGGATTCGACTCATAAGGAAAAGGGGCGAGGGTGAGGGGAGGTGCTGGTGATAAAGTGGATTGAACATTGGGCTGCTAACTGCAAGAGCGATGCTTCAAGCCACAAGCTGCTTCCGTGGGAGAAAGCGGCTTAATGGTCTCGGAAACGCATGAGAGACAGTTGTACTCGGCCCTGTGGGGTTGCTACTGTTGGAACTGACTTGATAGTGGTGGCTTTGAGCTTTGGTTTTTTGTAAGGAAAGTGAATGAGAGATGAGAATGTTGCGGGGATTGGACTGGTTCTGGCTAGGATGAGTGAGGCAGGGGTGGCCCGAGCGCTGCTTGTTGGGCAGGCCATGTACTGGAAGGAGTGTCCTGTGCATATGTGCGTGCATCAGCAGCAGACTAGGTCCCGTGGAAATGCTGCTGTTTTTAATAGTGATACCATCTGCCTTACATCTGCCCTCGGGAAATGAAACAAAAATGAGAACATTAACTACCAGTCTTCGGTGATTATTTCGTCATTTTCAAATAACCTATATCCTCGATGAGTGGGATAAAGCCGATCTTTGAATCCCTTGTGGGCAGGATTAATTCTAATTAAAACCCAGTTCTAATTCTCTTTTCTACTCCTTGGCGTGAGCGGGATGTTCGCACTTTCTCTGCAGGCTGTATTCAGTTTGATTGTTTGTTTGTTGAGTCCCTGCTCTCGGGGTGCTCCGCTTCTCTTGTGTGTCCAATCTGTTCTTTTTTATTTGCTTACCGTCCTGTAAGGTTGCTGCCGACACAGGCTGCATTTCTGAATTGGCAGATACGGAACCATTGCTCCTAGGAGGAATTGAGGGCTAGGTTCCTGTGAGGACCCTCCAGTCAGCGTTTTCATCACAGATCAAGGCGTGGTCTTGTTTGATGCGTGTGTTTGCTTTGTTGTTGTTGTCAGGTGCCCTGGAGTCGGTTCCAGCTTGTACAGCAACCCCACGTGTAGCAGCAAAACGCTGCCCGGCCCTGAGCCGTCTTCACAGTGGTTCTATGTGAATCCACCGGGTCAGCCCATCTTGTTGAGAGCCCTCCTCTTTTTTGCTGCGCCTCGACTTTACCAAGCATGACGTCCTTCTCCAGGGACGGTTCTCTCCTGACACCTTCAAAGTACATGAGACAAAGTCTCCCCATCCTTTCCTCTAGGAGCATTCTGCCTGTCCTTCTTCCAAAACAGACGTTTGTTCTTTTGGCAGGCCATGGTACTTTGAATATTCTTTTCCAGCACCACAAGTCTAACACAGGATTCTGCTTCAGTCTTCTTTACTCAGTGTCCAACTTCCACATGCATAGGAAGCAACTGAAAATTGACCTGGTTCAGAAACACCTTAGTCCTCAAAATAGCCTCCTTGTGTCTCAACACTTTAAAGAGGTTTGGGGCAGCAGATTTACGCAGTGCGACTGGCCCGTGGAGCTCTTGACTGCTGCTTCCAGGAGCCTTCCTCGTAGATCCACACAAGACAAAATCCTTGACAACTTTTATCTTTTTTCCATTTATCACGATGTTACCTACGGGTCTAGTTGTAAGGATTGTTGTTTTCTTTACCTTGAGTCCTAGTCCATACCAAAGGCTGCAATCCTTGATCTTCATCAGCAAGTGCTTCAAGTCCTTTTTGCTTTCAGTAAGCAAGGTTGTGTCACCTGCATATGTCAGGTTGTGAATAAGCCTTCCTCCAATCCTGATGCCACATTCTTCTTCATGCAGTCCAGCTTCTCTGACTATTGGCCAGCACACAGATGGAATAAGCATGGTGAGAGGATGCAGTCCTGATGCACACCTTTCCTGATGTTAAACCATGCTGTAGTCCCGTGTCTGTTTGCACAAACAAGTTGATTCCCATTCTTCTCCTGACTGTCCACTGTTTGTTATGATTCACACAGTCAAATGCCTTGGCATAGTCAGAAAACACAACCAAGCATCTTTCTGTTATGCTGTACTTTCAGCCAAGATCCATCTGCCATCAGCAATGATAGCCTCTGTTCCACACCCCCTTCTGGATCTGGCCTGGACCTCGGGCAGCTGCTCTGTCAGTGTTCTGTTGCAACTGTTGTTGGATGATCTTTAGCAAAACTTTACTTGCATGTGGTACCCAGAATACCGTTCGTTTGCACATTATGCTGTACCACCTTTCTTTGGTGTGGGTACACATGTGGATCTCTTCCAGTCAGTTGGCGAAGTAGTTGTCTCCCAAATTTCCTGGTCTAGATGAGTAAGTGCTTCCAGTGCTTCATCAGGCTGTTGAACCATTTCAGTTGATATTCCATCAGTTCCTGGAGCCTTGCTTTTGGCTAATGATTTCATTGCCTCTTGAACTTCTTCCTTCAGCTCCATTGGTTCTTGTTCATATGCTACCTCTTGAAATGGTGGAATGTCAACTAGTTCTTTTTGGCACAGTGACTCTGTGTATTCTTTTCATCTGCTTTGGATGCTTCCTGCATCCTTTAATATTTTGCCCACTGAATCTTTTAAGTGTGGCAACTTGAGGCTTGCAATTTTTTTGAGTTCTTCCAGTTTCAGATATGCTGAGGGGGATCTTCCTCTTGTGGCTTTCTAAAGCTCTAGGTCTAACTCTCAGTGCACTTCTGTTTTAGCTCCCTTATCCTATAAGGTCCCAGGATGCTGCACACAGTTTGCACCTGTCTAGTAACCTACAGGCTGGTGATTGAAACCTATCCAACCACACCGAGGAAGAAAGGCCTGATGATCTTCCCTGATGCTTGCAGGGGTTCTTGTTAGGTGCTGCCAAGATGGTTACAGCTCATGGATGCTATGAGTGGCCGAACAAATCTCTGCTTGGTCCAACACCATCCTCACAATCATCCCTGTGTGAGACAGTCTATCTCGTCGAGGGTCTCCCCTTTCTCATTGACCTTCTGCTCTACCAAGCATGAAGTCTTTTTCCAGGGGCTGGTCCCTTCCTGTAAAGATGACAGCCAAGAAACCCCCTGGGAACGGCTCCGTCTGTCACCTTCAGGGTTGCAATGAGTCAGCCTTGACCCCACCGCCCCAGGTTTGGTCCATTTTATTATGGATTTGTCAGGAGCCCTGGTGGTGTGATGGTTGGGTATTGGGCTGCTAACTACAAGGTCAGCAGTTTGAAAACACTAGCCTCTCCAAGGGAGAAAGATGAGGCTTTCTGCTCCCATAAAGCATTTTAGTCTCGGAAACCCACAGGGGCAGTTCTACCTTGCCCTATAGGGTTCGATGTGAGTCAGAATTGACTCGATGGCTGGGGCTGTTTGTTTGTTTTTTTGTACTGTTGGTTCATTAATAAATGGTGAGCTCATAGCCCACAGTACTGTAACTCATGCCTGAATGGAGCCTCTAGCGCACTTAGGGACCTCGGGCAGCCTTTCAGGTCTATGCGTGGGGCCCGTTTTCAACAGTGGAATTACCAACAAAAATGTGGAAAACGTGGCATTTAACAGACTGTTAAAAGGACACTTGTTCATGAGAACTAAGACAAGACAGAGGGTCTCCTTGTTCAACCTCCGCTGGGAATGGGCATGCCCTCTGTGCAGGCCCGTCTGCAAATGACCCCAGAAGTGACATGAGCATTGACTTGGGGGGCTCACAAATGCATTTGTGTGTGTGTGTGTGTGCGTGTGTGTAGGTAACTTTGCAGATACAGAATCCACAAATAACCAGGACTAACAGTATGCCCCAGGGCCGTTTGTTCTCAAGGATGGCCTGACAGTTCCCCCTGAAGATGGACCGTTTGCTCCTTTTGGAGAAGGCGAGGCTCCCACAACCTGGGGGTGGCCCGTGGGAGTTTCCCAGCACAAGCATCTTAGGAACCTCAGGGCTGCAGGAATCTCACCTCTCTAACCTTTGTGCTGTCCACACCTTTCCCCCTGGAGCAGCCCCTGTGGTGGGAGATTCTCTTCCAGGTGTGCCTTTATTAGTTGTCAGATGACATGTGCTTCGAGAATGGCTGTATATTTAAAAAAAA